CCCATTGCTTGGCTGGTGCAGGATCAAGCCCTAAGTAATTTAACCAAGGTCACACAGCATGAAAATGGCAGAGACAAATGCAGAACATAAGAATGGCCATACTGGGTCAGACCAAAGGTCCATCTAGCCCAGTATCCTGTCTTCCGACAGTGGCCAATGCCAGGTGCAGGTAATCATCAAGTGATCCATCCCATCGCTCATTCCCAGCTTCTGGCAAACAGGCTTCGGACACCATCCATGACCATCCTGGCTAATAGCCATTGATAGACCTATCCTCCATGAATTTATCTAGTTCTTTTTTGAACCCTGTTATAGTCTTGGCCTTCACAACATCCTCTGGCAAAGAGTTCCACAGGTTGACTGTGCATCGTGTGAAGAAACATTTCCTTATGTTTGCTTTAAACCTACTGCCTATTCATTTTATTTGGTGACCCCTAGTTCTCCTGTTAGGAGGAATAAATAACATTTCCTTATTTACTTTCTTCACATCGGTCATGATTTTATAGATCTCTATCATATCCCTCCTTAGTCATCTCTTCTACAAGCTGAAAAGTCCCAATCTTATTAATCTCTCCTCATACGGAAGCTGTTCCATACCCCTAGTCATTTTATTGCCCTTTTCTGAACCTTTTCCAATTCTAATATATCTTTTTTGAGATAGGGCAACCAGATCTGCATGCAATATTCAAGATGTGGCCGTACCAAGGATTTATATAGAGACAATATGATATTTTCTGTCTTATTATCTATCACTTTCTTAATAATTTCCAACATTGTGTTCGCTTTTTTGACTGCTGCTGCACAGTGAGTAGATGTTTTCAGAGAACTATCCACAACGACTCCAAGATTTTTCTTGAGTGGTAACAGCTAATTTAGACCCCGTCATTTTATGAGTATAGTTGAGATTGTTTTCCAATGTGCTTTACTTTGCATTTATCAACGTTGAATTTCATCTGCCATTTTGTTGCCCAGTCACCCAGTTTTGTGAGATCCCTTTCTAGCTCTTCGCAGTCTGCTTTGGACTTAACTATCTTGAGTAGTTTTGTATCATCTGCAAATTTGGCCACTTCACTGTTTAACACCTTTTTCCAGATCATTTATGAATATGTTGAATAGTACTGGTCCCAGTACAGACCCCTAGGAGACACCACTATTTACCTCTATCCATTCTGAAAACTGACCATTTATTCCTCCCTTTGTTCCCTATTTTAACCAGCTACTGATCCACAAGATGACCTTCCCTCTTATCTCATGACAGCTTACTTTGCTTAAGAGCCTTTGGTGATGGACCTTGTCAAAGGCTTTCTGAAAATCTAAGTACACTATATCCACTGGATCCCCCTTGTCCACATGCTTATTGACCCCCTCAAAGAATTTTAGTAGATTGGTGAGGCATGATTTCCCATTAAAAAAACCATGTTGACTCTTCCCCAACAAATTATGTTCATCTATTTGTCTGGTCATTCTGTTCTTTACTATAATTTCAACAAGTTTGCCTGGTACTGAAGTCTTTACAGGCTTTCTGGCCTGTAATTGCCGGGATCACCTTTGGAGCCTTTTTTAAAAATTGGCGTCACATTAGCTATCCTCCAGTCATTTGGTACAGAAGCTGATTTAAATTATAGATTGCAAACCACAGTTAGTAGTTCTGCAATTTCACCTTTGAGTTTCTTCAGAACTCTTGGGGTATACCATCTGGTCCAGGTGATTTATTGCTGTTTAATTTATCAATTTGTTCCAAAACCTCCTCTAATGACATCTTAATCTGGGACAGTTCCTCAGATTTGTCACCTAAAAATGGCTCCAGTTTGGGAATCTCCCTCACATCCTCAGCTGTGAAGACGGATGCAAAGCCTTCCTTTAGTTTCTCCGCAGTGGCCTTATCATCCTTGAGTGTTCATTTAGCATCTTGATCGTCCAGTGGCCCCACTGGTTGTTTAGCAGGCTTCCTGCTTCTTATGTATTTAAACATTTTTTTACTATTACTTTTTGATTCTTTGGCCAGCTGTTCTTCAAATTCTTTTTTGGGCTTCCTAATTATATTTTTACACTTCATTTCCCAGAGTTTATGCTCCTTTCTATTTTCCTCACTGGGATTTAATTTCCACTTTTTAAAGGATGCTTTTTTGCCTCTCACTGCTTCTTTGACTTTGTTGTTTAGCCACGGTGGCACTTCTTTGGTTTTCACGCTGTTTTTTAATTTGGAGTGTACATTTAAGTTGAGCCTCTATTATGGTGTCTTTAAATAGTTTCCATGCAGCTTGCAGGGATTTCATTTTTGGAACTGTATCTTTTAATTTCTGTTGAACTAACTTCCTCATTTTTGTGTAGTCCCCCTTTCTGAAATTAAATGTTACCAGATTTGGCTCCTGTAGTGTTTTCCCCTCCATAGGGATGTTAAATTTAATTATGGTCACTATTACCAAGCGGCCCAGCTATATTCACCTCTTGGACCAGATCCTGTGCTCCACTTAGGACTAAATCAGGAATTGACTCTCCTCTTGTGAGTTCCAGGACTAGCAGCTCCAAGAAGCAGTCATTTAAGGTGTCAAGAAACTTTATCTCTGCATCCTGTCCAGAGATGACATGTACCCAGTCAATATGGGGATAGTTGAAATCCCCCATTATTACTGAGTTTTTTAATTTTATAGCCTCTCTAATCTCCCTGAGCACTTCACAGTCACTATCGCCATACTGGTCAGGTGGTTGGTAATATATCCCTACTGCTATGTTCTTCTTATTCAAGCATGCAGTTACTGTCCATGAAAATTCTGTGGTACAGTTGGGTTCATTTAAGATTTTTACTTCATTTAATTCTGTGCTTTCTTTCACATGTCGTGCTGGTGGAGGAGTGACACTATCTGTTCTGTCCTTCTGATATGTTTTGTACCCTGGTATTACTGTGTCACACTGATTATCCTCATTCCACCAAGTTTATGTAATGCCTCTTATATCAATATCCTCATTTAATATGAGGCACTCTAGTTCACCCATCTTATTATTTAGATTTCTAGCATTTGTACATAAGCACTTTAAAAAATTGCCACATTTTAGCTGTCTGACATGACATGATGTAATTGAATGGGACTCTTTTTTCATTTGACTGTTTCTCATCAGATCCTACATGTATTTTATCACCTTCCATCCTCTCCTCCTTCCATCCTCTCCTCCTTACTAGGACATAGAGAATCTCCATTAATAGATCCTACCTTAAGTGATGTCTCTGTCCAAACCACATGCTCCTCCGCACCTGTTGGCTTTCCCCCAGCCCTTAGTTTTAAAACTGCTCTATGATCTTTTTAATTTTGGGTCACCAAACCCAGGCCTTTTGACTTTGCCAGTTTAAAAGACTGCTTGCTTAGAGGAAGAATTTTTTTTTAAATGATGGATTAATCTGGTAATTCTGCTTAGTTTGATAGGACATATATTTATTAGAGATATTAGAAATGGAATTCTATTCACTAAACTTATTGCAGCACAGCAAGAAAGGCTAGCATAAAAAAAGGAAACAAGATATGCAACAAAATTGATAATGTGAAGAATACATTGTGCTTTTATTTAAATAAGTTGCCCTTTATCTATTGTGAGCCACTCTAAAGTCCTCTAAAACATACTCTTCTATAGATTTTAGTGTGTTCTTATGTTTGCCAGTCCACAAGTAACGATAATAATAATACCTAGCTCTTAAATAGTGCTTTTCATTAGTAGCTCTCAAAGTGCTGTACAAGGTTAGTCTCTGAAAAGAAAGTAACAAAACATAAATTATGGTGATTTTAAGAAGGAGATTTTTACTTGTTGCCCTTGCAATTTTAAACAATCAACCTTATGATACTGTTTGAGAGATACTAAATGGGATTTCCGGTTGGTATATTTTAAAGCTGGAACATTAAACATTTAAAAATCACTTTTTACTGTGTCACATACATGTTAACGTTTAAAACCACATATAATACTATATTAATCCTTAGCTCATTGGCCTGTACTGAGATGTGCTATACCACTGGAGCTGTTCTGCTGTCTTTTATTTAGTGTCTTATATCAACAATATCTGAGCACTTTTTGTTATGCAAATGCCTGACTAGCTATTTCCTGGTTTTAAAGGGAGTTTCTGGGGCTGCTGTAGTGAAGACAAGGGAGAGTCTGTTGCCTCTTAGAAAAATAATTATATTGCAACTCATGTGTGATAGTCCATGCCAATGCAACCTGCCTCCCAGTACTGGGAACCTACCACCCCGTTGTCTGCACTCCGACTGTGTCACATATCTCTTAAGTGCTGGGTCCTACCCTACCCACCTCATGCATGAAAGCATCAGAGGAAGGTAAATGGAGGTGTGGATTTTTTGATATATAACCAAAATTGGCGCCATGCTGAAGAAGAGACTAATAGGGGAGATAATCTAGTTGGTGACTGTAAGGTTTGTTTCCCATTGAGAAGATGTTGGGTTCTGGTAACGTTTTTGGAGGGAAGCCAATGAGGAGTGTAAAGGGGTGGAGAGCTCATGTAAGGGCAGAGCTAGAGAAAGTAATCTTGATTCCTTTTCCACCCCTTAGATTTCTCAAGATAAATACTACTGTTCTTCCGGTTTGAAGGGTAAAACATCATTTTATCACCACGTCAAAGCTAATCAGTTTTCTCTTAATTTGATTTGTGACAGGCATTATACAAAAGCTGCATTATAAAATTTCAAGAAGTGGGGTGGGGCTTATTTACCATTTGCTGATGTGATCACTTGCTAATTTAAAAATTAAACTGCAGTGCAGCTGGCTAACCAAGACATACTTGATGCCCAAGTACCAGTCAAAATTACTAGAAATCATTCTGTAACATGTGTTTTAACTTATTTCTTAATAAAGAATGTATTCTGTAATCCCTTTGCATTTATGCAAGCTTCCTTTTGTATACTTTACATACTAGTCCATATTTGATCCCTGTTTATTAATGTTAGACATCTTTCAGAGTCAGTAATTGATAGGTGTTGATTTTTGATTTTTGCTTTTAGCTTCTGGTAAAACATGGTGGAGACTTGTTTGCGGAAAATGAAAATAAAGATACTCCCTGTGACTGTGCTGAGAAGCAGCACCATAAAGACTTGGCCCTCAACCTGGAATCTCAAATGGTATTCTCACGGGATCCTGAAGCTGAAAGCATTGAAGCTGAATATGCTGCTTTAGACAAAAGAGAGGTGAAGTGAAACTTTTAATTATGTGTACTTTATGGTTTTATAAATCTGCATATGTAGCAACACTTTGTGATAGAGGCAAAAATATCTTAAGCATGAACTTAACTCTAGGCACACTTTTAGATCCACTGATCAGTGGCACTATGCACATGCTTAAAGTTAAGCACACTGCGGAAGAGCAGTAGTGATTCCATAGTTAAGATTGAACAGAGCTTTCTGTTTGAAGTATTTCAGAGAGCTCTAAAGTACATACGCAATGCAGGTTGTCTTGGAAAATTGCTGTGCCACATTAAAGCTGGGGGTAGAGTTAGTGGTGCAAATTTGGGGTCATTTGGTCAAGTAAGTTGGGAGATAAAGCCTTCCAAAAATGATCAACTTCTAAAATTTTCAGTTTCTTATGATTTTTTTGCCCAAAGATATGGGGGGGAAATATAAGAAGGATCCACAGCATATTTCCTCTAATCTCAACTAGCAAATACCACCAAGAAGCATCTGCAAAGTGAAATATTTCAAAATATAGTAATTTTTCTTTCTGGTTCTAGAGGGTTGTGCCTTGAACTGCCGTAAACCAGATCTTGTACAGATGCAGGAAAGCATGTAATTTTCATGTCCATTTTTAAAAGTGCTCTAGAATTCGTAGGCACATTCAGTTTAGATTGAAATTTGTTTTTGGAGTAAATTAGGTATGTTTTGGTTAGGGGTTTCTCATTTTAAAATTGCCTTCCAATCATGACCTGCTTTTTAATAAAGTGCTCTAAAATGCACATGCAGAGCCAGATCAGCTTGAATGTTGCATTGTCAGTAGAGTGACCCAGGTAAGTAAGAGGTAGTAGTGCAGTCTTGGAGTGGCTTGATTAAGGGATTTACAAGATACACCCCCCCCCCCCTCAATTCCCTTCTCTCCCAAAATGAGTTGATTGTAGTGTGGTTCCATGTATCACTGATGAGAGGAAGATAAGGAGTGCAGGCAAAGCTGCAAGGGTGGAACACCATGCCAGTTTCATGGCACTTTTTCAAAAGAGCTCTAAAATTCACAGGCTAAGTCAGATCAACTTGGAATTTGGTATGCCAGTTGAAGACCTTGGATACAGTTTGTGGGGTAAATTTGAGTAATTTGGTCTCAGGTTTCCGAAATGACAGGCTTTTATTTTTCAGAATGCTTCAAAATGCACCTGCATATGCAGATTGCCTTGGAAATAGCTATGCTACATCAAGATCCAGATTAGACTTTGTGGGATCATTTAGTCAGGGAGTTTCTAATATAAAGGCCCACTCGTGACCTACTTTTAATTATCAAAATGCTCTGGAATGCACATGCAGAGACTGATTGGCCTGGACATTTCTCTGCCAAGAGAGAGACCAGGGTAAAGACACTAGTGAAAAATTGGGATTATTTGGTCCACGCATTCCCGTGATACAGCTCCCCTACATCTTTCTTTTCAAAGTGTTCTAAAATCATGTGTGTAAGTAGATTGCCTTGAAAATAGCTATGCCACATCAGAGTCCAGAATAGATTGTGGGTTGCAAATTAAGGATCATCTGGCCAAGAATTCCCAAAATAAAATCCTTTCCCCAGATGGTCTGGTTTTAATTTTCTAAGTGCTCCAGAAGCAGGCGCACAGCACAGGAACTGAAGTGGTAACTGAAAACAGGAATGCTCAGTGTATGCCATGGGCACACAGTGCTGACACTAGATTAGGGGGTTAGGAATAGACTTGCTCAGTGCATGCCACAAGCACTCAGCTCTGTGTAGAAGCTGAGGATAAGCAGGCTTTCTTAGCGCGGGCCGCAACTGCACAGCACTGAGACCAGAGGTTTAGGGAAATTGCTCTGGCTCAGGCTGCTGAAGGAAGGGCTCAGTGAGTGAGAAAATCTGTAAGCAACCCATTCACCAACTTAAAAACCCTTTGCATATCTCTTACAAGAAGGTTAGCATTTCTGGAAAAAAACAAAATATAAACTATGGAAAACCATGAATTATAGTGTTAAGGTAAGACTTCCCACACAACCTTCCTGGATGAAGATGGCAATAAAACTGGGAGTGCAACAATATCTTAGCCCTCCCTAACCAATGCTGCCATTTTATCTGTGCCCAGTTCAACTCGAAATCAGCACTCTTATTCATATAGTCCAGTGGACCTGCACTGAGATCTGTGCAGCATCTTTGATGCAAGGGAGTACTTGTTGCTGGCTGACAGAGGGCAGAAAAGTACTTTATATTCCCAGTTCCTATTGCCATCCCCGTGTGGGCAGAATTAAGTGTTCTTACATTATAGTAACAATATCTTAATTTCAAATGGTTGTAGCCAATTCATGTCATTGTTCATATTCAGATGTCATCAAGGAATTATAAGGAATGCTTACATTTAGAATTGAACCATTTGCAATGAAGAAAATAAACAATTTGCAAAGCTTAAAAAAAGTCATAAGAATGTATCATTTCTAATTGCTAAGGGGCAGAGCAAAAGCTTTCCACCTTTAAATAAGATGGGAGTCAGTAGTGACTCTACAACTTTTGCAAGTGTTTCCTTACTTTGAATATTTTTCTCAAGAATATTTCCTATGTAACTGTTTCTAATAGAAATAATTGTTTAACATGAGTTCATTCTAGAATCTTGTTTTCCATTGGTACTGGTTGAAATGCACATTCTTCTGAAGAGACACTTCCGTTTTAATTTTGTCTTTTTAACAGGGCAGGATTTATGATTTAAATCTGAGTTTGCAATTAAAATATGTATAGCAAATGCAATGTCATGATAGTTTAATTAAATGTGTTCCTACAGAACACACTATAGAATAGGAATATTAAACATTTACAAAACAAGATATAAACTTAAGAACTATGTCTCTGTGTAAAACACTGAGACACAAAACTTTATGACCAGAGTCTGTTCTTTTATCATTGTGGTTAGGTGAAACAAAAAGTGTCAAAATGGCATATGTCTGTGTTTGGTTTTTTAAATAGAAATCAGGTCAGGGGAAAATTCCAAAAGATTTCCCTTGCCTCTAATTTTGTATTTTTATTTCATTAATTAAAACAACCCACAATAAAAGAATTTGAGCGAACATTGCCTATATGTATAATGTGTAAGAATATAAGAAATATTTCTCTCTCAAAATGTATTAAAGGTGAAGCTAGGCTAGCAGTAACCCAAATAATATACATTGTAATTTAATCTTTTTAACTAACTATTTTTGCATCAATTTTGATGGTTTCACATTCATAGTTCTCTGGTTCACTGCTTATTCCTAAAATAGAAGTAGGTTCATCTTTGTAGTATAGCCCCAGGAGGTAAAAGGCACTTTCATTTTAACCCCGTGCTGCAATGTATTCAGTATATGCTAAGGAACACCTGGGAATAAGCAGAAATTCAGAGCAGATCATCCAGAACAGTTTTAGTTCTCTACCAGACACACAGAGCTTTATATTGCACAATAACAAAACAATCGTTTTCTTCAGATATTTAATTTATATTTGGAATGGATCTGTTCAGTTCCAGTTGAAAGCCATTTAGCAAATATTATAAGCACAACTTTAATGTTTATATTTAAGAAAGTGAAAGATGCGTTTGCATTTTTAAAATAACCCACTTAAAATTAGTACATGGAGATAGAAATATCATTTTTAAATAGGAAGAGAAGCCGAAAGTACAGCTGACTTTAATGTCTCCAAATCTGTATATTCCATATGTGCACTTGAGTGGTAGATGCAGTATCAGATAATTTTTGAAAATATATAGCCCCAATTTACAAAAAGGATGATAATTACATAAAGTAAATTTGGCATCACTTGGTTACCATCTTAATTGCACAAAAAGGAATTGTTTTGTCTTCTCAGTTTTTAACAGTATATTAAAAATAGAAAAATCACTTTAATTTTAAATGAACTGATAAAATAAAACCTCTGTGCAAATGCTAAGATATTAATAAACACTTTAACATAGTTTCAAGTAGCAATTTGATAATAAAAGAATTGATGGTATCTTTGCTTTTTGTATCTGGCTCAGAATGTTAGAGGTAAAATAAAGGGGAGGTGTGCATGTGTGTGCTCAGATGTGTGTGTAAAAGGAGGAGTATATAGAAAATATTACATGAATTAAAGATAGTGGAAAACTGTTATTCCATGGGTTGAAAAAGTGACAGAACATAGAACATCCCAAAGTTACAGTATAGTTTAAAGGTCTGGAGATCTTTGTTAAACTCAAAGTGCAAGTTTTTCAGTATAGACCTCAATTATAATCTAAGGGTTTCCGCAGATGGAATGAGTTGAAGGAGTTCTTCTGTGCACTTAAGGTTTGATCCAAAGTTCATTGTAATCATGGGTGTCTTTCCATTGACTTCAATATGCTTTGGATCTGGGCCTATATGAGTTATTCAGATATGAGCTACACATACATCTGAGGTCATAGAAAATATTTTTTGAATTACTTTGAGAAACAGTACGTGTTCATATAATTAAAGAACGGATTATCTTGCCAAAGAGGGCATATTTAAAATTTTCTGCATGTGTGCAACATTACCATTACCATTTCTAGACTCCTGACTGCTTAACTTTGTCTCCTTAATGTTTTTTTATGGATTAATATATTACTTTGTGAACAAAATATATGTATTTTTAAAACACGGTTGTAAGGACTATTTCCCATATTGCTTTAAAGAGCAAATTAAAATTCTTAAAACTAGAGAATCTAAAAATGCTCTCTGGGGCTTGTGTGGAACGTTCCAACTGAGATAGTATAACACTTACTACTCAGACGAGATAAGTGCCAGTATTGAACATAGAAACAACCAATTAAACATAACTTAGAGTAATTGTGCACTTCAGATTGAAATGTTAGTTCCTTGAATATACATTTATGTTGCAGATATCATTAAGAAATATCTTTCCCTTATAGATTCTGTCTTTAAAAGGTGGTGGTTGTCATGCTGATGAAGCTAATTTATATTCTTTCAATGATAATTCAAACTACAGTTCAGATAAAGTCCAGAGGGTTTAGTCATTGTCCCAATTTTTTAGAGCACATCCATGCAAATGTAATCACTTGAGCACCCAGCTGTTTGTATCCCTGACAATTTGACATGTTTTCATAAATTATCTTTTTTGTAAGAAATTAAATAGGTCAATCAAATTCTAGAAGGCTGTCAAGCAGACGACCCAGATTTACTTTAGCAGGGACCGTTAAGGATCAGAATGTTCTTAGTCCCACCATAGGTGTGCACCAACAGGAAGGCACAAGGAAACTCTCCCCAGTTTTGTGCAGTCTACATAAGGAAATGCAGGAACCACTTCCATCATGCTTTCCAAAGGACAAAGAAGAGGCAGGGCTCTGGGTCCACTTCTTCTGTTCACACTAGTCTGGGGGATTGTCTAGTACCAGAAAGTAGAGCAGGCTCTACCATCAATTGATGCTAGTTTATGTTGCTGATGGATCCTACTGCTTGTGGGTAATTACTGGAGTTTGTTTATTAGATGTATTTTTGAGAGTTTATTGTGGATGCCCAGTGTGTGAGATGGACTCTTTTATTTACTGTAGTGTAAATGTGAATTATAAAAAACTATTTAAAAGGCCAGTATATCATTTTCTCAGTCCCTTGCTTCTCACCTGGATGGTGTCTGCATGGGTGTATAAGACTTAGTATAGACTTTATTTTTCCTGTGTTATTTTTAAGGAGTAAGGATGCAGCTCTCATATCTTGGCCATAGGAGCTGGACTGTGACCTCAGAGTTGCTGCCTTTTTGCCTTTCCACCTGACCCTATTGCTAACACTGTAAGAGAAGATGCCACCCTGAAACCAGCAGGGGGATTGAAACTGGTTCTCACCATTTAAGCTGCTCATGTCCGTGGCCACTGCTGCCCAAACTGCACAGTTGAACTTCTGTACTTGCGATGGATCAGCCTCCTATAGCTGTATGCTCAGACCACTCAACCAATCAATTACCTCCATTCCCACTTCTGACTAGGTGCGTGCTGCCTCACGTGGCCTGCAGTCTGACGCCAGCCAATTATACCTTCCCTTTCTTTCTATCCAAGTCTTCAGCATTCCTGCCCCCAGGATAATGCCAAGGTAATGGCCCTCAGCACATATGAGGTCAGTAAAAAGTCATCCAGCTGCTACCTGTGTTTGCATTTTTGCCAGGCCAAGCAATATCTTACTTCAGATAATCCTGGGTCTAGCATTCTTTTCTTATCCATCCCTCAGAAATAGATTTTGAATGGCTCCAGAATTCTAGTGGCTACCTAATGAGTTAACTTTTCCAATAAGAATTATTTGGATTTCCTGTCTTCAGCCATATCACCAGCTGGATTCCATGCAAACCTAGTAATTTAGATTCTTTTCTTTTTTTTAACCATTTGACATAGTTAGACCATCTCAATGACTGAACTCTAGAAATATCAGAGAACTGTAGATATATCTTCTTTTGGCTTTGAAATATGTAAAATTGATGCACTATAAATGAACATCACCAGATTACAGTGTCTTCGTATAATTTGATATAGTTGTCAGTCTGCACAGTCATGAGTCAAACTAAAGAATTCTTCCCCAACTTACCTATCAAGAGGGTAGTTCCTCTGTCTGCCGTTTGAGATAATTGTTAGGTAGTAGAAATGTTTAAATTGTTGTTGCCAGTTAATGCAAAATTATTGGTTCACTGGAAAAATCTCTACTTCTGAAGAGCTAACCTGTCTTTTTCTTTTCCTTTTCAAAGCCATATGAGGGACTAAGACTTCAGGATTTGCGAAGGCTAAAGGATATGCTGATAGTGGAATCTGCAGACATGCTTCAAGCCCCACTGTTTACTGCAGAAGCTCTGCTTCGGGCACATGGTAATCAAAAACTAAAAAAGCATTCAGACAGTTTTAGAAATTGTCTCCGCAAAATAAGTCATGTTCATGAGGGTTTTTTCTTTTCTTTTTTTTTGAGCTATAATTGAAAGAAAAAGAGAAAATAATTAACAAAATATGTATTCTTTTTCGAGTATATTCCCACTCTTGGGATAGTTTATACCTATCCTATCTCATAGGACTGGAAGGGACCCGAAAGGTCATCAAGTCCAACCCCCTGCCTTTACCAGCAGGACCAAGTACTGATTTTGCCCCAGATCCCTAAGTGGCCCCCTCAAGGATTGAACTCACAACCCTGGGTTTAGCAGGCCAATGCTCAAACCATTGAGCTATTCCCAAGCAGTATCTTACAGTGGAAAGAGGGAGTAGAGTCCTAATTAAACAATGACTGAAGCACCACGCTGCCAAGCAGTGCTTCAGACCTGGATGGCAGATACTGTGCATAATGCCTTGTAAAAGTGTGAATTGGACTTCGTGTAGCAGCCCAGCATATCTCAGTGAGGGGGATACATTTAATGAATGTTATAGATATAGCAACCACTTTAGCAGAATGGGCTCTAAAAGGAACAGGAGAAGAGAGTGAAGCTTCTCTACAATGTTCCCCAACACACCATCTGATCCGCCTAGAGAGATACTGCGCTGAAATGGCCCTTAGAGGTACCGATATACAAAATAAACAGCTTAAGAGAAGACCTTACATTCTTAGTTCTGTCCAGGTAATACAAGAGTGCTCTCTTTGCATCTAAAGGATGTAATCTAAATTCCCCATTACTTGTGTGAAAGTTTGAGGAAAATACAGGTAAATTAATACTTTGATTTACAAGAAACTCTGAAATCGTTTTAGGAAGGAATTTTGGTTATGGTCTAAGAACCACGTTATCTTTATAAAAAGTAGTATGGGGGGAGGGTCCTCTGTCAATGCATGTTATTCATTAACTCTTCAAGCAGAAGTGATTGCTATTATAAAGCTTGTTTTCAGAGATAAATGAAGAAGCAGCTTGCTACAGTTTCAAAAGGGGAAGATATAAGCTGCAATAGAACTAAATTCAAATTCCATGGAGGGAGCAGGCCCTGTACTGAGAGATAAAGAGTCAGTAGACCTTTTAAAAAGTTTTTCACCAGCTTGTGCAAGGAAATAGATTTTTCCCGTAACGTCAGTATGGAATGCTGCTATTGCTGCTAAATGGACTTTAATGGAGGAGAGAGACAAGTGTTGGTTATAAGTGTAACACATATTCTAAAACGAATTGTATAGGAACTGTAACTGGTCAACATTTCTAGCAAATTGGCCATATAACAAATCTTTTTCATTTAAAATTGTAACTTTTTCTGGTAGATAATTTCTGAGCATTAATAAGAACTAGCTGCTCCTTTGAGGAGCAAGGTCTTTCTAAATCTGTCAAAGTTCTGTTGCCCAAGCCAATAGAAGTAACAATTGAAGATCTGGATGGAATACCCTTCCCTCTGTTGGGACAGTAAGTCTGTGGAAAACAGAGCGTCTTGTATTTGACACCGGATAAATGGAGTAACTCGGTGTACCATTGTTGCCTTGGCCATGCTGGAACAACTAAAATCACGCTGGCTGAATTTTTTCATTTCATTAGAACTTTGAGGATTAGAGGGAATGGGATAAATGCATACATCAGACCCATTCCTCAATCTAGGATGAATGCATCAATCACTGATAAATTGTCTGAGCCTGCTCTTGATAAAAATGAGGACATTTCATACTGAATCTAGTGCCGAACAGATCTATGTCCAAAATCCCCAAAAGACAGAAAATGTTCTGAATCACCGAGTCCTTTAGAAACCATTTGTGCATCTGTGAGGAATCTCTGCTCAGATGATCTGCATCCTTGTTGTGTTCTTCTTCAAGTGATTGTTCGTGTCCATTCCAACCAGGTGTGTGTGCACGCCAGCTGGAAGATTTTTCCCTTAGCAACGTCCGTAGGGTTGGCCTGGGCTCCCCCAATATAGGGTCCTGCCGATCCTCCACTCCCTCAGTTCCTTCTTACTGCCGGTGACCGCTAGCTGGAACTTCACTCGCTCCCGCAGCAAGCACTCTATCAGTGTCTGATAGCATATCATGTATATAGTTTTTCAGATAGTTATAGTTAGTTGGTTTGGGGCCCTCTCCCCACAAGGTTTCCCCTCTGGGGTATGCCCGGGTCTCCAGGGTTTAAGCTCTGTGAGGCCTGTGGCAAGTTTATGCCCAAGAGTGATCCTCACTCATTCTGTGCCCACCCACCCCCAACCTCCTTCCCCGTCCCTCTTCAGGGACCCCTGTCACGAGCAACTTCTAATTCAAAAAGTGCAGTCCCTCCTCTTTGTGGGGGCAGTGGAGGAGGTTCCACAGGAGCTAAGGGGAAGGGGTTTTTACTCCCAGTATTTTCTAATACCGAAGGCCAAGGGGGGCCTCAGACCCATCTTGGACCTGCGGCAGTTCAACAAGTTTGTAAAGAAACTCAAGTTCCGCATGGTCTCACTAACCTCCATTATCCCCTCATTGGATCTGGGAGACTGGTTACGCCTCCCTCAACTTGAAGGACGCGTATTTTCACATCGCAATAGTCCCACATCACAGACGCTACCTCAGATTCGTGGTGAGCAACGGCCACTATCAGTTTGCCGTCCTCCCGTTTGGACTGTTGACAATGCCCCAAGTATTCACAAAGTGCATGGCAGTTATTGCGGCATTCCTGGGCAAGCTCCAGATACAGGTTTTTCCTTACCTCGACGACTGGCTGATCGGGGCCGCTCAAGAGCCCAAGTGCAGGGTCAGGTTGAATTCATAAGAAGGACCTTCCTCGAATTGGGTCTCCTCCTAAATGAGGCCAAATTACTCTTTCCCTGGTGCAGAGGATAGAGTTTATAGGCACAGTCTTAGACTCGACTCAAGCCAGAGCATACCTCCCGGAAGCCAGGTTTCGCTCACTAGGGGACATCATACAGGGCCTCAGAAAGTTCCCCACAACCACAGCAAGGAACTGCCTAAAGCTGCTGGGACACATGGCTGCGTGCACTCCAGTTTTGGCTGGCATCAGTGTATCGGCCAGCCTGACACGCTCTGGACAGCATCATACCCCTGCCCTGCCCGGTGTTGGACTCCCTCCTATGGTGGCTTGACCTGCAAGTGGTTTGTGCGGGAGTGCCCTTTGCCAGCCCTCAGCCCTCTCTCTCATTTGTGACAGACACCTCGGATCTAAGCTGGGGAGCTCATCTAGGGGACCTCAGGACTCAAGGTCTCAGGCGGACCTCGCTCTGCTCATCAATGTCAGAGAACTGAGAGCAGTACAACTGGCATGCCACGCTTTCAAAACCCAGGTGCGTCTCAGTCCTCATGGACAGCACCTCGGCGATGTTTTATACCAACAAACAGGGGTGCACGCTCCTCTCACCTATGCCGGGAAGCCCTTGCACTGTGGGACTTGTGTGGAGTACTCAATCCTCCTGCAGGCATCATACCTCCCAGGAGTGCAGAACGAGCTGGCGGACAGTCTCAGCTGGACCTTCCACGGCCACAAGTGGTCCCTCCGGCCGGATGTGGCGAGCTTAATATTCCATATCTGGGGGTCTCCCCAGATAGACCTGTTCACCACCCGTGGCAACAGGAAATATCAGCTATTCTGCTCCCTCATGAGTCACAGTCCAGGATCCATCGCGGATGCCTTCCTCCTCCCGTGGGGGGGCCGCCAGCTCTATGCTTTTCCACCAATTTTGCTGGTCTACAAGGTGCTCCTCAAGATCCGCAGGGACCGGGACCGAGTCATACTGATAGCGCCAGCGTGGCCGGGCCAGCACTGGCTCACATTGCTCCTGGGAATGTCCATAGCACTGCTCACTTTACCCTTGGTCCCAGATCTGATCACGTAGGACCATGGCCGACTCCTGCATCCAAATCTAGAGTCGCTCCACCTCACGGCCTGGATGCTCCATGGCTAAACACCGCAGAGCTGTCATGCTTGGATCAAGTCAGACAAGTCCTCCTTAGTAGTAGAAAACCCTCCACCAGGGCAACGTACCTTGCTAAGTGAAAGAGGTTCTCCATCTGGACGGAGCAACACAGTCAGTCGCCGTTGCTTGCCCTCATACTGTTCATACTGGACTACCTCCTTGTTGTTTTGGTGAAGACCTGTCCCTGTCATCAATAAGGGTCCACTTAGCCACCATCTCCACCTTCCATCTGGGCACAGACGGCTTCTCGGTCTTCACAAACCCTCTAGTCAGTTGTTTTCTCAAGGGCCTAGACAGGCTCTTCCCACAGACGCGTCAGCCTGTCCCAGCCTGGGACCTAAATCTAATCCTCTCCAGACTTATGGGCCCTCCATTTGAACCACTGTCGACCTGCTCCCTGCTCTGTCTCTTGTACAAGGTCACGTTCCTCGTGGCAATTATCTCGGCTAGACAGGTATCGGAGCTCGGGGCCCTCGCGTCCGAGCCTCCTTACACAGTTTTTCGTAAGGACAAGGTCCAACTCAGACCTCACCCAGATTTTCTCCCAAAGGTGGTCTCCCAGTTTCACCTGGGCCAGGACATCTTCCTCCCAGTGTTTTATCCCAAGCCACACTCCTCCGATACGGAGCACAGGCTGCACTCACTAGATGTACGTAGGGCCCTAGCCTCCTATATAGAGAGGACTAAGCCGTTCCGGAAGTCCATCCAACTCTGTGGCCCTGGCGGACAGAATGAAAGGTCTCCCTGTCTCTTCTTAACACATCTCGTCATGGATCACATCCTGCATTCGGGAGTATTACAGCCTGATGAAGGTGCCCGCCCCACCGATTACTGCCCAGTCTACCAGGGCCCAGGCCTCCTCGGAGGCATTCCTGGCACAGGTCCCCACCCAGAGAATCTGCAGGGCAGCCATGTGGTCCTTGATGCATACGTTCACTATGCAATTACACAACAGGCAAGAGACGATGCGGCCTTTGGATGCGCTGTGCTCCAATTGGTGCATGACTCTGACCCCACCTCCTAAGCTT